GGGTATGGTCGTATGTGACCATTTGACATAGGAGAGAAGACCAAATTGCATGGAGATTCGCCCGAGAGGTGTGGGAGGAAGCCAGCTCGCCTTCCCTCAAACATCCTCAAGGGAATATCAGTGGGCACTTACTTAATATCTGTCTTTCCATGCCGATAAGTTATAGGGAACGCGTCGAGATTTCCAGTCGGACGGGGGGGCACGGAGTGGGGTGATGCTTGGTTTCGGCCAATGGTTGTACACGGTTGGTCGTATCTCGACGCGTTCCGACGGCGAATACTTGAGTAGTCGGGCTCACTGGTCTGGCTGATGGCCTTGTTATGTGATTGGCTGGTTAATGTGGGGATTGGGACGACATCATAAAAACTTCTACTACCCTATTCACATCATTGAATACGACACTGAAAACTGCATTTTAATGATCGCTCGAATCCTGGCTTTAATTGCATGCTACTTTTACCTATTTTACTATGGAAAATCTCAACGGCTTCCACCCTGCTGTGAACAACGGTTTCCGCCCTTGTCACAACGGACCCACCTAATTCTACGGTGGGGCGTTCAACGGCTTCCGACGTAAGCCATCGTGGACGTAATGTTAGGCCTCGAGGCGGACCTTGCCAAGCTAGTGGGAGTGAACAGCGCGATCTCCGGAAATGGAGAGAGAATGACACCGCTAGCTGTCGAGTTAGAGAGATTCCAGATCAAGTGGCAGATTACACAACCTTCCCTGCGTGAGGGTAAGAAGGGCGCCGCAGGCCATCCGCTTGATGTTTGGGAGAAGAGAAGGCAGAGCACCGGACTGGGTGGCCAAGCACGCTTGTTCGGCCTACAGAACGAGCTTTTGGCAATCTCCAATACATTTGCGATCGATAAGGATGTGGGTTACGCGTCTTTGCAGCGTTGCGTGTGGAGTGTTTGGAGGGTAATGGAGTACCTGGGCCTTGTTGAGGAATTCAAACTCGAACTGTAAATGCATACACACTGCTTTTAAGCCTGGATTCTAGCTCACCTGGCTAAGCCAATGTTGCCATTATGTGCTGAAAGGCCCTAGTCTACATAGATAACCTACATAAAGATTATCCCACTTAGCTATAGTTATATTACTTTAAATGTGAACCTTTGTCGTAATTTTGTTTTAGATCCCGTTACCCCCACAATTCTGCCGCTAACCATTGTCCTGATGTCGGCCCAACAACCCTCTTCCCCGATCCCCATCACTGCCAACCTGTTGGTCGATGCGTTCTCATACTGACTGCTCAAAAGGGGGGGGGGGGGGGGTGATCCCTCCGCTAAACGACGTAGACTTGACGTCAACACAGTAAAATTCAGACCCCTGATGTTGAAGCAGTGTGGGAACCTAACACTCTCCCTGTCTCCGTCGGTGGTGAACTTCAAGAGTATGCGGCGCAGTTACTCGTTTGCTCGAAGACGCTATCCCGAATTCGCTGGAGGGGCATCGAGATACGCTTCAGGAGCTTATTCTCAAGTCTGTTGATATCACCGGAGGGGGCCGAAAGACGTGGTCCTCACTTCTCCAAAGTCTCCAGTATAACTAGCCTCAGGGTAGAGGTAATCAACTTGGGGAACTGCATAGTGGATGGGTTTTATCTCCGTTCACAGTCAACGGCATCTCCCGACCAGAGGCTGTGCGCAGATGTCCCTGAAGAGATTGACTTTATGTGGTCGGCAGTAGATGGAATGGAAGAGTCAGAAATCTTTCCCTGGTCTAGACGGTCTCATTATGAATGAATCAGGGTTCAGGGGTGATGGATGATATCATCATGTCCACGGAGATTATCATACCCTCTCCTCGCCTTACTACCAAGGTTCTCCTATTCGCCTGTTTATCATATGGGCCTATCGATCCTTGACAACACTTCCACAACGCTCCGTCCAGATGCTGTCCTGGCTGTTGAACACTATACTAATAAAGTCGTCTGGCCGTTTCATAGCGGACCGTAGCTCTCGCAGTGTCCGGAGGAGGTCCTCTCGAGGCCGCAGCTGCAGGTCTGTGTTACGCGGGCTGTCGCGGTTGCTTTTCGAGGTGACCCAACCTAGCTCACGCAACATCCGGTTGCTGCACCCCTTATGCTCTACAGCGCCATTAGCATCATAAGCCTCACACCATCCCTGCGTTATACTGTACCAATCTTCTTCGTCATCTCGGCTACATCATAGGCCGTCCCACTTGAACCCTTCTTCCAGGGGAAAGAGGCGGGGTAGAGGAACCACATCATCCTCGTGACCATGACGAGGGCCAGCTGGGCCGGGTCCTTCCTCTTGGCTGCGGTCCCGAATTCGCGCGACCCAGGCGCAACCTCTGGCGTTTCCGATGAGGAGCAAACGGTCAATGTGATCATCAGCATCAGGCAACAGAGGGGGTCGTCGATGTTGTTAGAGAGGCAGTTTATCGCCAGCTGATAGTGGTCTAGAACCCGTAGGTCGCCCTTGTTAGAGAAGATCGCCTTAGCCTTGAGAAAACCGTCCGTGATGAGGCTGGGGACGTCGGTGAAGGGGAAGCCGCAGCCGAAGCTGATGGTTCTGCGCGTCTGCCGCAGCGCCCTGTCATGCGCAGCTTTCTCGTGCTTGATTTGAGCTTCCTGCGCCGCGCGCCTCAGGGAGCCAGGCGGGCCGGTTACTACTGCGTGCGCGACCTCTCGGCCGCGCAGGCTGACGACGGTTGTTGACGTTAAGCGGCCCCTAACGGCGTCAGGCACCCACTCAACACCGGCCGCAAGGAGTCGGCCAGCCAGCACAGAGACCCACTCGTCCGGCTTGAGCCCGTTGCTAGCCTGGTTGCTGCTAGTCATGGCCGCCTGTAGATGATCCGGCCATGTCGCGTTAACTGGCGCGGACGCCGCCCGCCCTTTCTCGGTAGAGACAACGCGGAGAAGCTCAGTTGCAAAGTCATGCCTGGTGCGCGTCCTCGACAAGGTTATTGTTATGCGCGAGCCGCCCGAGGTGAGCCCGTTAGTTAGCCGCTGCAGCGCCACGTGGGTAAAGGCGTCTGGCGCTGCTTCCCACGCCTCGACAGCAGACTTACACGCCTCTTTCTGCTCCAAGGTGATAGGTATGCTGCTAGTGTCGCTACTACCTTGTTGCAGCCTGCGCCGTAGTTGGTTGGCTATGAAGAGTTTCGTCTGTGGGATCCACATCTCCCGCAGGAGTTCCGTCGCATATTCCGTCACGGCTGCATGGCTCTTGAATGCGTCTTGGCCTAGCTGGCTGAACCAGATCTCAGTCTCCCGGTGGGAGGCAATGCGGTCGCCGTAGTGGTGCTGTAGCTCGCTAATATGGAGCAGTATAAGCCTTCCCGTCTTCGTAGAGCGGGGCCACCGGCTAGTGTCCATGAAGCAAGTTGCTACCCCGGCTGGACCGAGGTCTAGTACGGCTGGGTCGATGTAGGGCCACGCCCCAGCTAGAAGGCTGTCGATGGTGCCTAGCGGCCGGAGCACTGTCTTCGGCAGGTGGCGCTCATGCCCAGTGAAGATATACCCACCAAGCCGGTCAAGTACTGCGACGGCCTCGGAGTGTGCGAGGTCTAGGCCGCGCTCGCCGCCAATAACGTAACGCCGGTCCATCTCACTGATAGCAAGCTCAAACAGGCGGCAGTAGGCTGACATGATACGCGGGAAGATTTCCACTGGTATAGACCGAAAGATATGGACATACGACTCATGCTCTGTGAGGAAGAAGCGCATGAGTTGGAAGATAGGGCGAATGACGTTCTCGAATGTGCGCTCAACACTATCCATATGTCGTATATTGAGTGATACGACCTGCTCCATCCGGTATGCCACCTCATCCTTCTCGATAGCGATGTCCAGCTGCCTGCGCTCTCGCGCAAACGGCTTAGACTCCTCAGGCTGCTCGGGCGTGAGGTCGCCACGGATACGACGCAGCAGCCTCTCCCGCCTGTCTCTCGTGTACGACATGACGGATATGTGTGACGTTGGGGCTGTTAGCGCTGCTGTTGCGTACCCCTTCGTCGCGAGGAGGGCGCTAGCGCTATGGCGCACGCTTCTCTTGATGTTGGAGTAGCCCTGGAAGTAGCCGAACGACAGCACGTCTGCGCCCTCATTGCGGTCGCTCATATTCCCTTGTATAGCGGTGTAGAGCGAGTTGAGGAAGGGGGCCGCTAGCTAGATGAGAAGTTTCCGTACATTGGGTGGAAGGCCTGCGGGTAGAAGGTGTAGTCGCGGTTGCTGGGGTACTCTCGCGCCACCATGTTCCGGTCGGCGAGTAGGTAGCGCGTCTGTGAGCTGCCCGACTCGCTGTTGATACAGACTGCAAGGGCGTACGATATAGCACTGATACTTCTGAGATCAAAGCGGGCGTTGAGCTCTATAATCATCCTCTGTAGGTCCCTGCTCTCCCTGAGCATCTGCTGGTACTCCCGGCCTTCCACTGTATCGCTGTGTGTTCTTTTTCCATCGTTGAAGGAGAGCTCTTCAACCTCCTGCTGAATATTTCCATCTCTAGGGCCCTGCTCCCAGCCCTCCTCCTCCTCCTCCTCCTCTTCATGGGGTATATGCCTCTCGCGCGGCAGGTCGTAGATGCTATCGCTGACCTGGATCTCGATATTCGCGCCGTAGTCATACGCGTGGAACGCCGGCTCGTGGCGTCGCTAGAATGGATTGTGGTTGTGGGCGCTGGCCCAGACGGCCCAACCGTTCATGAACTGCTCCTGGAAGACCTGCCACTTAGCTGAGCTTATGCGCTGAGTACTCTTTGTCCCCAACCGCCAGCAGGCCTCAACCCCCTCGCTAAGCAGCTGCGGCGACTGGAAGACGCCCACGATATATGCGGCTAGCTCGCGGGCTAGCCCAGCCGGTATCCCGCTCTTCTCTGAGGCCGTCTGTCTCTCTCGCGGGCCCCCGCCCCTGGACGTCGGCTCGTGCGCCACGGGGTGCATGACGACGAACCAGACCTCTCGGGTGCTAGCCTTGGCGACCCTGAACGTGCGCCCGGTGATATCGAACGGGATGCCGCTGATATGCTTTACGCTATAGGGCGCTGCGTATAACTCAAGAGAGAACTCGATATTGTCGAAGACGGGCCCGTCGCTTTTCGTGATGGGGCTACGTGGCTTGCCGATAATGCTGAAGAAGTCAAGGAAGAACTGCGGGAAGAAGGCGTCCGTGGCCTTTGCTGGCGCGCTACCTGCAGCGCGAGACCCAAAGTCAATCGTGTGCTTCTCCTGTAGCATCTTGATAGCATCGGCTGGCTCGAAATCAATTCGGAGGACCTTTTCGATGAAGCGTTTGGCTAAGGAGAGGGGTGAGAGGCGTTAGCATATTCTCCTCATTCCTAGTTTACTTCCTTCCGCATATACATACCTCGGAACCGGTGGTGCCCTGAGGAGTGGTCCACAGCCCAACGGTGGCTGTTCGCCCATTGTCGCCTTCATCCTTATGTTAGCGGGTTGAGTCCTGGTTGTGGGCGAAGGGATCGTTACGGTCCAGGCTAGAGGCATCCACTACATCAGGTAGGCTATCACTATCTACTAGCGACTCAGCAATAATATCTCCCTCATAGGTTAAAGACATCTTGATGTAGCTGCGGTGGGATGCTAGGTGTTACTATTCACGGTCTTGGGTGTGCGTAATTTATGTATGTATTAGGTGATGTCTCTTGTAATATACTTTCTGGGGATTCTATGTAGGACCACCTATATATCCTCTACTGAGAGATTACTTACTAATGGCTTATCCAGTAGGGTATTTAAAGTAGTATTATCCTGCTCCCCATATAACTCTCACCCACTATAAGTGCAGGAGGGCAGATATGCAGCATATGCCGCCTGTGTTTTGTCGGGGAGAGTGGAGGATTCCTCTTTCCCTCTTACTACACTAAAGCCCTATTAGGACTGCTTGATATAGTGTCAATAAAAACAAAACCTCGAGTTGGTCTGACAGTCGTCTGCCTAAGAATGTATGGTCTGCACAAATGCCCTCCCGGGCGTGAAGCTGATGATGACGACCTCAATAAGGGATAGACTGAGGGACATCTGGAATTGGGAGCCCACTTAGTGTAAAACTGGACAACCTTCTTTGTATGTGCCCGCCGGGCAGAGGTATTTGCGGAGGTGTCTTCTATTGGCTATATTTTAAAAGGGCAGGCTTGCAGCGTGCGTCAGATCAACTTTCCGAAATGAATCGTCTATGTAAGGTATGCGAGGGATCCCCAGGCCTGCGGACGCGACCACGACTGCTGCTATACTGCTCTGGCTGGTTTCCTAGCTCTAGGCCCCATCTTCCAGCGTGGAACTGGTTTCTGGCTAGCGGTGATCGCCGGCGCCTTGGGCGAAGGCAGAGGGCGCCACTGTTGATGTGACGGCGGCGGCGGCGGCGAGGAAGGGGAGGAGGGGGAGGAGGGAATACTGTTGCGGCGCCTGGGCTGTGCAAGGTCTTGAGCATCGTCGTCGTCGTCATCATTGTTATCATTGTGGCTGCTGCTCTGTTAGCGCTGGCGCGCAGGCTGCTTAGTGGTGATGACGGGCGCGTCCTGTGTCAGCTGGTCCTCGTCGCCAGGGCAGTCCAGCGCCGCTGCAGATCCGTTGTAGGGCGTGAGGTAGGCGTTTACGAGCCCCTCCACCTTCTGCTGGGTAGCTTGTCTAGTGGCGACGTCCTGCTGGCCGGCGAGCTTGAACAGACTGGCGCAGAACCCCTGCACGAGGGTAGAGGCCTTGGCCTGGCGCTCGCTCCTCCTTGTCGCGCACTCCGTCGTCCACAACGGGCGCAGCGCGTGGCCCTCCCTGTCAGTCGACTGACGCACTATCTTCAGCAGACGCGCCCACGCCACGTGCTTGAAGCGCTGCCCGAATAAGCTGTCTTGGCTGTCCTGCCCCTCATCGCCTATCGCGTCATCATCCAGGAGCGGGAGCAGCTCCGGCGCCCGGAACTCGGCTAGGTTGTCCCGTACAAAGTCCAGAATACGTCTCTGGAGCTATACTACTGCGATCGCGGGGAAGGCCCCGGGAGCCCAGCCCCTACGGGAGGCGAGCTCGTCCAGTGCCATCGACAGGTGCTCCCGGAGGAGGGGCTTATTCCTATCCTTGGGCCTGACGTTATTGACGGCTGCGGCTTGCTCTGGACTGATCCAGCAGATCACGTGGCAGAGCACACGGACGGCCATCTGGATCTCGGTCTTCTTGCAGTGGAGGATACGCCTTAGGTCGGGGAACGTGAGCACTAGCGAGTTTGTGAGAGCATCGTGGACGAGGTGGTAGGTGTGATCGTCCATGTTCGCGAGGAACCCGTCGACCCGTGTACGTGCTTCAAGCCCCGCCTGCTGCTGCCCAGATGTGTAGAATACGCTCGTAATATTGGGGGCGGCTTGGCAAGTTGAGAGCCTGTCCCAGTCGGCGGGCGTGATGTGGACCTGCTCGTCCGACGGTAGGTCGGCTAAAACGCCGAGAACCTCGTTAAGGGCATCAATCCAGTACTCGTCGATGCGGAGGCTAGCAATCCACTCAAAGTATGAGATATTGAAGGTGTCTAACCCCAGCCTTGTGCAGCACCACTGCGTTGTGACAGGCCGCCATCTCTGGTGGTTCTACAACGTAATGAGCCTCCGCGTTGGGAAATGCTTCTCGCCGCCGAGGCGGAGTGCCTCGACGACGTGCTGGTCTATGGCGGCGTCCTCCCCGCCTAGCTGCCCGTCTCCCTGCCCTCCTATGCAGGCGATGGACGCAAGCTGCGTCCAGATCTGCCCGTGATTGTCGGGCAGGCTTGGGTCACGCCTGTTGACGCGAAGCTTGACGTTCAGGTCGCGCGGCAGGCGGTCTTTTGGTTTCCATGTCGTCCGTTAGCCTCTTGTGAACACGGGCTCATGCTTTGAGCCTGGGGGCTATACCTTTGTCGTACAGCTCGCACGCCCACCACAGGTCGGAGCCTGGTGCGCCCGTCTCCTTGACGTACTCGCGGAGCGCCTGGATACGGTGCTGGCCGGCCATGACCTCGGCCTTGCCCCCGCTCACTTCGGCCCAGCGCAAAAAGGAGAGCTCGCAAGGACTATCGTTATTATCGTTGATGCCCTCCCCGTCGTCCTCCTCTCGCTCCTCTATGTCGCCACCGTCCTGCTGCATGAGGCTGACTGCCTCGGCGCTGCAGAGGACGGTGATCCGGTTCTCCGGCGCCCGCCGTTCCAGCCCGCCGCTCCTGAATGCGTGTAACAGCTCCTGGACGTGGGCTGCGTTAACGGGGCGGTTCCTGCCGACGCTCCAGGCTGTGTCCAGCACGTCGATGGGCATCCTGGCAACGGCGAGGAGGAAAGGTCGCGCCTGTTCTCGCGCGGACGATGTTTCTGTAAAGGGGGCGCTGATCTCATCTTCTCTCCTGGCCCGGACCCGCCTCCTCAGCCCTGATACTGATGGCGCTGTAGCTACTTTCTTATTATCGCCCTCATCACGCTTCCTCTTCCGCTTCTCGCTGAGCACTCTGGCCATTGCGGTGATGTGTATTTCTCAACTGCCGCCCGATAGCCTGTGCTGGCCGTTCCTGTTATTTCTTTGTTAATTTTCTTGTCTTTCTTGCCCCTGGGGGCTTAGGGATAGGTGGTTAAGGGAGTGGGAGTGCTGGTGATTAGATGAGATGTGTGCACAAATGAGACGGGAAGACAATATAATAGATGCTTGGAAGGGGTGCGTGTTTGGCAGGGCGGCCGGATGCGATTGGTCTGAGGCCGCTGTAGTACACTAACCTTCTACGTTTCTATGTGCTGGGTGGGGGACCGCTATGCAGCAGAGGGAGCTGACTCACCCCACCACAGCTAGCGTATCCTCGTCCGGTAGCAGCAGCAGCAGCAGCAGCAGCAACATAACCATAGGTCAGTGTTACGACCCGACAGGCATGACACGTTGGAACAGCCCCGCCTGGCATCTCGGCGGCTAACGCAGAACATATGTAAGCAGTAACACAGGTGTAACCAGGAACCATCGGGAAAGGAAGAACTATGGTACAGGTCACGTGAC